TAGTTAAGTTTTACTATGTTGAAGATTTTTTCAAGCAGCCTGTGCTGAGACTCACACCTATATTCCTCGCTACACAGGAGGCTGAGATGTGAGGATTATGGTTACGCAGACAAATCTGAGAGACTCTTATCTCCAATTAAGCAGCAAAAAGCTGGGACTAGAGGCATGAATTAACCATGAGTGAAAAAGACAAGCAATAGCATAAAGCTCTGAGGTTAAGCCCCAGTACCAGAACAAAAGAAAAAAAATCTCTTTAACCACAAAAAAGTTTATGAAGCTGGGCACTGGTGGCTCACACCTGTAATTCTAGTTTCTCAGGAGACTGAGATCTGAGGATCTCAGTTCAAAGCCAGTCCAGGCAGAAAAGTCCATAAGATTCTTGGTTTTTTTTGTTTTGTTTTTTTTTTTTTGGGTCCGGTCATGGGGCCTGAACTCTGGGCCTGGGCACTGTCCCTCAGCTCTTCAGCTCAAGGCTAGTGCTCTACCTCTTGAGCCACAGCGCCACTTCCAGCTTTTTTCTTTTTTCTTATGTGGTACTGAGGAATGGAACCCAGGGCCTCATGCATGCAAGGTAAGCACTCTACCACTGAGCCACCTTCCCAGCCCATAAGATTCTTATCTCCAATAAACCACCCAGAAAAAGCCAGAAGTAGTGCTGTGGCTGAAGTGGTAGAAGGCTAAGTGGTACAGCGGCCTGGCCCTGAGTTCAACCAGGACTGGCAAAAAAAAAAAAAAAGGTTTTATGTTCCTTTTTTTACTTTACAGATTGCCTTAAAAATATTTAACTATCTTTTGTGTTGCAGGTTTTAAACATAGTCTCATGTATTTCAGTATATTCTCTTTAGTAGGCTGATTGGAATGTGACTGCCATTTCATGTTGACCTAAGAATATTTATTCTTGCCACTCCCAGTAAGTTTCAGCAAATATCTCTCCATAACTTTTATTCATTTATTTCATTGTTTATTTTTTGCCATTCCTGGGGTTTAAACTCGGGCCTTGGCACTGTCCCTGAGCTTCTTTTGCTCAAGGTTAACACTCTTCCACTTGAGCCACAGCTCCACTTCCAGCTTTTTCTGCTTATATAGTGCTGAAGAATTGAACCCTGGGCTTCATGCAAGCTAGGCAAGCACTCTACAACTAAGCCACATTCCCAGCCCTCTCCATAACTTTTAACAAGTTAGTTTAACAAATGGGAAAAAGAAGATGGAAAAATAGCTTCTTACTTTTGACATCCTTAATTGCCATTGTAATCACTTCATTTACTATAATTTTTGAGAACTTAGAACAGATTGTGGTCTAACATTAAAGAATTCACTGATTCTCTTTCGTCTGCATTAGTAAAAACACCAGGAACCTCTTAGGAACTGAAAATTTTCCCTGAGGTACAGGAGAACCTAATCTTCATAGATGACTTTTGTTGGGCAGGAACCCAGCTCATAGCACCAAACCAATTTGGATGTAGGAAGTGGAAGGGATAGTAATTAAATGAATGTTGAATCTTTGGTTTAGGTTTCATTTTAATGAGTCAGTAAAATGGAATTGTGGGTAATAGTTAACTTTGTAGTTAAGATAATTAGCTTTTGCTTGTTTCTTATTGGAAAAATTTGCCAGGCTTTTGTTTCCCCTCATTGCTTCTACCACTGGCCTCACCAGTCGGTCATAACTGTGTGAGGAAAGATAATAATTGCTGCTTTCTCAACAGACTGCTGTTAAGCTGCTTGTGTCTTTTCTTTAAGGTTAATTTATAATTGGAATAAGGGTGTGTTTTGCCCTGTGACCAAGATAACATTGTTTTTAAAAGAAAGAAAACATTTTAAAATTTTTATCTGCCTCTTATTCCACCTAAGACATTTATTTTCAGTAACAAAGCATTATAAAATATTGCATTTGTATACTTTCTAACACACGAATACTTTGTATAATAAATGTAGCTTTCCAGTATCAGTAGTAAGAGCAACTTATATCCACTGAACTTTAATTATTTGTCAGCCAAGTAGTGCTTAATATTTTCCTAAAACCATTGGTGGAAAAACTGAGGCACAGGGAAATTAAAATTGCCCAAAGTCACATAACTAGTAAACTGCCAATACATAATGGAAACACAGGGCATCTGAATTCAGATTGAAAGTTCTTATTTTTATCCACTCAATTCAGTATGTCTTGGTCAATTTCCATGTGAGTAAACATATATCAAGAGCATTGTCTCAATGGCAACAAGGGATTCCATTTTAAGGATATAACAATTTATAAAACCAGTCTCCCATTGTTGAGCATTTAGGTTGTTTACAATTTTTCAGGACTCCAAACATTGCCATGATAAACATCTACGCTGTACATTGTTGCATGTTTGTCTTAGAATAAGCTAATAACAGATTCGTGAGTCCTCTGCTAGGTACCACTGGCTTACACCTGTAATTCTAGCTGCTCAGGAGACTGAAATCTGAGAATGATAGTTTCAAAGCCACCCTGGCCAGGAAAGTCTGTGACATTTTTATCTCCAATTAACCACCCAAAAAGCCAGAAGTGGAACTGTGGCTCACGTGGTAGGGTGCTAGCCTTGAGCAATAAAGCTCAGGGGCAGCACCTAGGCCCTGAGACAAGCCCCATAACTGGGAGAAAAAAAGCAGGATCTTATTTTATTCTTGAGCCAACCTGGACTGCAGTCCTCTTATTTGTGTTTCCTGTTTTGGCACTAGGGTGACAAGCACTTATCGCTGTAACCATCATTTTACTTCCCCTACAGTTGGAAAGGACAAGTGCCACCACTATGCCTGGACATTGGTTGAACTAGAGACTCATTTATGTCCATGCCTGTACTGGTCTCTAATCATGATCCCTCAGTCTCTAGCTGGGATTGAGCTACTGTGCCCAGCCTAAATTCTGAAAAAAAAAAAAAAAAAAAAAATTGCTTTTCTCAGTTCTCTAGGGAGGCTGATCACCTGTTCCATTGAGGTGACTATATTTTACTCAGGGTTATTTAAAGCTCTTAGCTTTAAATAATAATAATATAGTAAGTATATAAAATGTAAATGCTATAGACCTAGATAGTTTCTTGATCACTTTCCTTTCATTTTCCACACAATAAATCACATATACATAAAGAAAAGTGAATTTTCATTTTTACTTTTTGTGTATATGTGTGTGCCGGTCCTGGGCACAATAGAACTTGGGTTCTCTCCCTGAGCTTTTGTGTGCAAGGCTAGCTCTCTACCACTTGAGCCACTGCTCCACTTTCAGCTTTTTGGTGATTAATTGGAGCTAAGAATCTCTTGGGCTTTTCTGCCTGGGCAGGCTTTGCACCACGATCCTTAGATCTCAGTCTCCTGAGTAGCTAGGATTACAGGCATGAGTCACTATTTCCTGGCTCATTATTACTTTTAAGGTGCTTTGAAAGGCTTTTGCAGTGCTGTACATCTAGGAAGTACTGTATACTCATTGTTGCTGGTATAGATCTGGATCTACTCATGTGTGTACTCATGTGTTCATCTTACCTTTTCAAAGACATTTCCCAAGGAAACTGCTGTCTGTTTGAATACACTTCTTGGAAGAGTGGATGACAAGCCAACCATTCCATCCATGGATAATTACCTGTGCAATTCTGTGTGACATTGCAGATTTGATATAGCTGGGTATAGTATGCCTGAAGCCAGGCAATCAGAAAACTCAACCTTTGAATGTCCATTGCCCTTTGATTCCAAATGGCCAGCAATGGACATGCTGGGTGAAAGGGTGGCACAGATTCCTATGTGCATCCTTCCAAAGACAAGGAAAGCGAAAGAGCTACTCCAAAGCAAAGTTTCTCTTCTCACTCAATCATCAACCTTTACTATCTACAGTCTACCAAACAGCTTTTACCTGTGCCTTGCTTCATCAGAATCCCTCCCTTCCTGCTTTATGAAGGCTTCATGTCCTCCTCCCTTCCCACAACTTGCAGACACACAGATCCCTGTGCTACCAAAAACTGTTTGGATTATTCCTTCATCAAGATTCAAGACTCTGTTGCTTTATTTATAAGTAAAACCCAAGATGGAAATTTTAGGGTAAAAAAGAGGTTATATCATGAGATTGTTATCATATCATCATTATACCATTGTTCTTATATTATTCTAAACTTGTAAACATTTTAGTGTCTGGAACTTATTTTACTATATGCCTCAATTTTTTTTTAATTTTTATTTTTTGTGCCCATTGTGGGGTCTGGACTCAGGGCCTAGACACTGTCCCTAAGGGTTTTTGTTTTTTTGTTTGTTTGTTTGTTTCTGTGAATGGTGGGGCTTGAACTCTGGGTCTGGGCCCTGTCCCTCAGCTCTTCAGCTCAAGGTAAGCTCTCTACTACTTGAGCCACACCACTTCTGGTTTTCTGGTGGTTTATTGGAGATAAGAGTCTCATGGACTTTCCTGCTCCGGCTGGCTTTGAACCGGGATCCTCAGATCTCAGCCTCCTGAGTAGCAAGGATTACAGGCAGAGCCACCAGCACCAGCTTTTTTTTTTTTTTTTTTTTTTGAGTACATTCTTATTTCTTTTTTTTTTATCCTTTTATTGTAAAGGTAATGAACAACTCATGTAACTGTAACCTCTTTTACAATATCTTTACAATAAAAATATATATATTAAAGAAAAGGTGATGTGGGGGGTTACAGTTACATAAGTAAGGTAATGAGTTCATTTCTTTTTGAACAGTGTTACCTCCTCCCTCATTTTGTCTCTTTCTTCCTTCCCTCCCTTCCAAGTTGTAAAGTTCATTTCCAACATAGTGTCTAGTGAGTATCACTTTGTCCCTCCGTTTCTGTGATTCCCCTTCCAAATCAAATAAACTTATATAAGACAAAGGGTACAGAAATCAAGCACAGTGACAACAAGGAATAGATAAACTAAAGGGGAGAGAGAGACAGACACAGAGAGGCAGACAGAGACAGACAGAGGAAGGAAGGAAGGAAGGAGTGAAGGAAGGAAGGAAGGAAGGAAAAGAGAGAGAGAGAGAGAGAGAGAAACCAAACAGTGCTCGCTTCGGCAGCACATATACTAAAATTGGAAGGATACAGAGAAGATCAGCATGACCCCTGAGCAAGGATACAGGCAAATTGGTGAAGGATACACGCAAAAATTGGTGAAGCATTCCATATTTTTAAATAAACCCATCACATTTGGAACATTAAAAAAAGAAAGAAAGAAAGAAACCGAGCAAACTGCAAATGGTACACTAGAAAAACCTCTTGTTTCCGTTTCTTGGAGTTTATTCACCCAGTTGTTGAGTGTTTAAAATCATTCCTTTTATTTTCTCTATGACAAATAATGCTAATTTCTTCCAACTTGAATTTGAATTTGTTCCTTTGGGGTAGAATTGCTAAGCCATTGTTGATGAGTATTTGTGAGACCATCAGTAGAAACTGCCACCAGCTCTTCTGACTGTTTATAGCAACTTAGGCTCACAGAAGGTGTGTGTAGGGGGGGTGCCAGTGGCTCACGCCTGTAATCCTAGCTACTCAGGAGGCTGAGATCTGAGGATCTCAGTTCAAAGCCAGCCAGGGCAGGAAATTCCATGAGACTCTTATCTCCAATAAACTACCAGAACACCAGAAGTGGCATTGTAACTCAAGTGGTAGAGCACTAGCCTTGAGCTGAAGGACAGTGCTCAGGCCCAGAGTTCAAGCCCTATGACCAAAAAAAAAAAAAAAAGAAGGTGGGAATGTATTTAGTGTTCTATCATGGAGCCTGTCCTTTTCACTAAATGGATAAAAACTTTTAAAAATCACTGATTTTTTGGGCTTAATTTTAACTTTTCTTACTCTTGGTGAGATTGGATATTTTCCATGTGCTTATTTGACATTTGAAGTTTCTTTCATGAGACATCTCTTTATGTCTCTTCATATTGGAGTTTGATGTTTTTCTTATTCACTTGTATGAACTTATTACATGCATATTAAGGATGTTAACATTGTCTTTAATGTGTATTGACCACAATTAGGCTAGAATTCTTTTCACTCTATTGTTTGCAATTATATCTTGTCTTAATGAGGTCAGTTTTTATCATTTTACATAGAAAGTCATTTTCAGTGTTTAAATAACTTCAGAGCTAAGTACAGAAAACATATATTCGAGGCCTTGGTCTTTCCAGTTAGTGCTTCTGTTTTGATAGCCTTGTATACCCAATGCATTTCATGTCATGGTCTTTCCGGTGTGCTCATTACAAAATTCTGAGGTCTGCATCCATGCCATGCACTTGAGATAGGAATAAGTTGCTTTGGCATTCACTGAGGTTCTAGATAAAATTCAAGCTGCCCCTTATTCCCCTGCTTTAGGTTCTCATAACTCCAGATGTCCTGAATGGTTCTCTTTTTCCTTGTAGACAATTCCTCCTCCCTCCAGGAAGATGAAGAAGTAGAGGTGGAAACCATTAGCTGGCAGGCGAGCAGGCCAGCCATGAACGGGCAACCTGCCCCTCCAGTGACTTCTGCGCGCTTCCCCAGCTGGGTCACTTTCGATGACAATGAAGTCCACTGCACTTTGCCACCCGTCACCTCCCCTTTGAAGCCAAGTACACCACCACCTTCTGCACCTGTGACCTCAGACATACCTTATAACTCCACCCGGTCATTTAAGAGGGACCGTCCCAAGAGTACGTTGATGAACTTCTCCAAAGCTCAGAAGCTAGACATTTCCTCCTTGAACCGCCCACCTTCCATAACTGAGGCACCACCGTGGAGAGCAACCAATCCCTTCCTGAATGAGACTCTACAGGATGTCGAGCCCTCCCCTATCAACCCATTCAGTGCTTTCTTTGAGGAACAAGAGCGGCGTTCCCAAAACAGTTCCATTTCCAGTACCACTGGCAAAAGCCAAAGAGATTCTCTCATTGTAATCTACCAGGATGCCATCAGTTTTGATGATTCTAGCAAAACTCAATCCCACTCTGATGCTGTGGAAAAACTCAAACAACTCCAAATTGATGACCCTGATCACTTGGGCAGCACAACACTACCTGACGATGACCCAGCAGCCTGGGTTCACCTGGATGCTCACCTGCCTGGGTCAGCTGTGTCCCAGCCCAGGGATGGGTGGTCAATGATGCTGAGGATCCCTGAGAAGAAAAACATCATGTCCTCCAGGCACTGGGGACCAATCTACATCAAACTGACTGACAGTGGTTTCCTGCAGCTATATTATGAACAGGGCCTAGAAAAACCATTCCGTGAGTTCAAGCTGGAGATCTGCCATGACGTTTCAGAACCCAGGCTTCAAAACTACGACGAGAATGGGAGGATCCACAGTTTGCGGATAGATCGTGTCACTTACAAGGAGAAGAAGAAATACCAGCCCAAACCCGCTGTGACCCACACCGCAGAGCGGGAGCAAGTGATTAAGCTGGGCACCACCAATTACGACGACTTCCTGAGCTTCATCCGCGCAGTTCAGGACTGTCTCATGGATCTGCCTGTCTTGTCAATGGACTTGAGCACTGTTGGCTTGAACTACCTGGAAGAAGAGATTACGGTGGATGTCAGAGATGAATTCACCGGTATTGTGAGCAAAGGCGAAAACCAGATCCTCCAGCACCATGTCTTGACTCGGATCCATATCCTGAGTTTTCTCTCTGGGTTGGCAGAGTGTCGCTTGGGCCTCAATGATATCCTCATCAAAGGCAATGAGATTGTTTCTCGACAGGACATCATGCCCACCACCACCAGCAAGTGGATCAAGCTCCATGAGTGCCGCTTCCATGGGTGTGTGGACGAGGAGGTCTTCAACAGCTCCCGTGTTATTCTGTTCAACCCTTTGGATGCATGCCGGTTTGAACTAATGCGGTTCAGGACCGTGTTTGCTGAAAAGACTTTGCCCTTCACCCTCAGGACAGCGGCAAGCATCAACGGGGCAGAGGTGGAAGTGCAGAGCTGGCTGAGGATGTCAACCGGCTTCTCATCTAACTGCGACCCCCTCACTCAGGTTCCCTGTGAGAATGTAATGGTTCGTTACCCAGTGCCTAGTGAGTGGGTGAAAAACTTCCGAAGGGAAAGTGTCCTGGGGGAAAAGTCTTTGAAAGCCAAAGTGAACCGGGGAGCAAGTTTTGGCTCAACTAGTATCTCGGGCTCCGAGCCTGTCATGAGAGTAACTCTGGGAACTGCCAAATATGAGCATGCCTTCAACTCCATTGTGTGGAGGATAAACCGACTGCCCGACAAAAACTCAGGTGGGTAGTTTCTGCTGTAGAGAACAGTCACGTGTTTGCTGAGGAGCTGGGATTCACTTTCTACATCCTATCTCTGTATGAAGAGTTCATTCTCATAGTGTGGCAGGGAAGGTGATGGGGAGAGGGGTGGAAAAGTACAAGTATTTATTTGCATGAAGTAATAAGTGTAGTGACCCAATTCATGACATCTTTTCACCCCTTATTATCATACATAGTCCATAACGAGCTGTATTGTTCTGCTCAGCTGAGCTGCAAGCTTCTTCTCAATTTGTGTTCCTTTGGGGCTCATTGGAGCATTAGCTACAGGGCAGGAAGCAATCCATTCTCAGATCCTGGAAAATGTGTGGGTTCCAAAGAGATCTTTCTGACAATGCCTTGGATAAAAGTGAAAGGACTGGCTTATGTGCAATCTTACATGCATGTGAGAGTTCTGAGTCCAGTTACTCAAACTCAGAGCTTGGCTCGGGACTCAGAGATGGAAAAGAGACTAAAGATCTGGCAGAATATGAGATCCAAGAGGGCCATCATGCTACCAGACAAAAAGCAAAGGAAGGAATGTTTGATGGAAACAATTGCCAATCATTTCCTAGCCAGCTGCCCTGCTCTTAGCCCTAAGGGATGCTGCTGTGCTTGATTGATCCCACCACAATTACTTTCCTCCAGTAACAGTCAAGGAAAGGACAGGATGAGGCAGCAGGCAAAGGAGCTCTAATCACTTCATGTTCTTCGAGTGTGGCTAACTGTGGCAGGCAACAAGCCCATGATCCTCAGAACCACAAACCACTTCTCCTCTTGTTTATAATAAATTATGTCCATGTCTTCACCAAAGCAGATTTGCTAGTTAGGGAGAGAGAATAAGGCTTGGGGGGAAAAAATCCTGATTGAAATATGGAGCCATGCCTTCTTTCATTCTTACCATTAAATCCTTACCGTGTGTTCAGAGTATTCATCTGCTGCTTCAATCGTGGAGTGTCTGTTACCGTATCCTGGTATCCAGGATGGATTTGATGTGACAGCAGCAGACAGTACAGTCTGCTCGACGCCCCAGGCTGTCCCGAGGAGTGGGCACACACCAGGCACTCTGTGTCAGACACTGGGTGTAGCAGGGCAAACTGAAGAGACAATTGGACCTCTGTGTCTGCTGCTGTCTATTTCTAAACTGACAGAATTGTACAAACCAAGGCTTCCTCTCTGTGCTTGCTTATTCATTGCCCCCTGAAATCAGCTCTGTATTATTCTCTTGGTGACCGCGCTGTAATTTGTGTCTCAGCCATAGACCCCCATCCGGCTTGACAGAGGAAAAGAGAACCCCTGATTCTCTTTTGGTATACAAGCCTTTGTGAGGACAGAGCCGTGGAATTGCTGTATGTACAAGCTGGAAAGGGCCCTTAGTCAAACCTCTCCATGCTACAAATGAAAATTAAGGCCCAGAAAGCAACATTACTCTTCTAAAGCCACACAGCCATACCCCAACTCCTCTTCATAGGGAAGGCTGATAGACACACACTTGAAGTAATCTCTAATGGCGAGGCATGGTAATGTACATCTGTAATCCCAGCTACTCAAGAGGAAAATCAGGAGGACTCTGACTTTGAGGTCAGGCCAAACAAAAGTGGTAGACCTTATCTTAAAAGTATGAGAACTGTTGGGCACCGGTGACTCATGCCCTCAATCCTAGCTTCTCAGGAGTCTGGCCAGGCTGGGCAGGAAAGTCTATAAGACTTTTATCTCCAATTAAAAGTAAAAAAGTCAGAAGTGGAGCCGTAGCTCAAGTAGTAGAGCACTAGCCTCAGGTACAAAAACTCAAGGACAGTGCCCAGGCCCTGAGTTCAAGCTTCAGGAGGCTCAAAAATAAAATGCATGAGGGGGTGGGGAGGTGGCTCAGTGGTAGAGCGCTTGCCTTGCATGCCTGAGGCCCTGGGTTCAGTTCCCCAGCACCACATAAGCAAAAAGAAAAAAAGCTGAAAGTGACGCTGTGGCTCAAGTGGTAGAGTGCTAGCCTTGAGCTGAGGGACAGTGCCCGGGCCCAGAGTTTAGGCCCCACGACCGGACCCAAAAATAAATAAAAAAATAAAAATAAAATGCATGAGAACCATAGTTTGCCATTTTCTCGGTGTATACAAACACATTTCAAAGTGGTTTCAAATGTTCAAAAGTACCATAGGATTAGTTTCTTGGATATAAGCACTAAGGAATGGCCTTAGGAAAAGCTAATGACTATGATTTCAGGCAGTGTGGGACAGCAAGACAACATCCCTAGTTTTCCTGAAATCCTAAGCCTACCTCCACACTGGGCCTGGCCCAGCATCTACCACCAGTAGACCAAGTAGCTTGCATGGAATTCTAACATGCTCCGCCAGTACAGCTCAGCCCAGCTGAGCTCAAGCATAGCAGGTTTCAAGGACCAGCCAGATCTCACAAGTGTTTCTTAATCATGTGTAAGGTTCTAGACAAATCTTATTATTTCCACATGGAAAAAATAAGGCACTCTGAATTGATAGCTATTTCCAACAAAGAAAGCTATCTTTAGACTATATGAAGTTCAAAACAAGCCAAATATGATGAGATTAATCTTTTCTTGAAAAAATTATGGGTTTTTTTTTTTTTGTTTTCTGTGTGTGTGTGCGCGCATGTGTGTGCACGCAAGCGCATATGTGCTACTGTGGATTGAACTTGGCCTCACATTTGCTAGGCAGGCACTCTTCTATTTGAGCTTCACTCACAGCAAGTAAGGTCTTGCTTGTTTTGCCTGGGACAACCTTCAACCACAATCCTCCTACCTCTGACTCCTGGAGTAGCTGGCATTACAGGTATGCACCATTTGCCTGGCCCCAACATCTGAATATTAATGTTAAATTCAATCTAGAAAGATTATATGATATGTGAGCTTTTTGCTAATGATCATAAATTAAGTAGTAGCAGCTTCTATAACTATTCAGCCAGCCTTGAACAACAAATAGGTGCTAACAGCAATATAGGGTACAGTGCTACATTCACATGCTTTGGTGGCATGCTGTGCACGTGCTTTGGTAGAAAGAAAAGAGTCACTTTTGTAAAAGAAATAATTTCTGAATATTCCCACAATGTACAAAGAAAGGTAATTAAATAAAAACATGAAAACACTTGTTCAAGCTACTATTAAGATATTATATATATATAGGTTATATATTCTATATATTATATGTAACATTGATCTAATCTGTAGGAATACATCTGAAAATTTTAGAACCAAATTTGGAGTTAGATCTGAAATACATTCCCACCTCTACTGTTTATTGGTGATATGAACTCAGGCAATTGACTTAACACTCTCAGAGAAACCTAATTTTTCTCATCTCTAAAATAGGGTTATTAATACCTAGCTCATTCATAAGGAAATTGTATAATGCTGTTAAGTATCTGGCCTGTAATAAATGTCTAGTAAATTATAGTGATGTAATTTTATCCATAGTACTGAAAAAAGATATAGCAAATGGATTCATTTTTACCTCTTTGCATTTTATTTAAATTTCTTAAAAATCAGTACAAACATTTCAATTATCTAAAGTCTTAGTCTTTGGAAATAACCATTGAATTATATTAAATTTATGAATCAGAGCAAAACAAATACTTCACTCTGTAATGTTTTCCTTAGAGAGCGGGTGTGTGTCTTTTTACTCTCTGATTAAAACATCCTGCCCAAACCTTAATAAAGAAAATTGGAATTGTTTACCTAGGGGAAATGCATACCTAAAAGGCTATGTCAGTTACATAATGAAGCTGAACACATTTCATTGTGTTTATCCATAGCCAATTCATACAGCCTACTCCATCTCTATCCCATTCGAATCTAGACTTAGATTTTGGAGACCATAAGGTTATGACTTAGACAAGGTGGTTAAAAATACTCTACAGTCAGTGTGGTTAAGAACTGACTACTGGATTCAGTTCTTAGTCTCCTACTTCCTAGCTGTGTTCACTTGCCTCCATAAGCTTTATCTGTAAAGTGAGCATCACGTTAAGACATCAAGAGATCATTAGGAAGATCCAGTGAAAGAATTGAATCTGTTTGAAGCATTTAGCATGACACCTGGCACAAGATGCTCAATGAATGTTTCTTGTTACGTCTGGTGAATGACAATGAGGCATCCATGGTTCTAATCATAGCACTGAGCTCTTTCCTCAAAAATTTGATAATATTCCCAAATGAGAATAAAATGCTACATTTTCTATCCATCTTCAGTAAAACTATGCATAGACTTACAGGATTAAAAGGTCATCAAGGGACTTTGCCTGGCATTGAGCTGCTGCTTCTGTGTGTGTGTGTGTGTGTGTGTGCACACCAGTACTTGGGCTTGAACTCAGGGCGTGGGCACTTAGCTTTTTCACTTACTCTATCACTTGAGCCATAGTTTCATTTCTGGACTTCTTTTTTTGGCTCATTAATTGGAGATAAGAGTTTGATGGACTTCATGGATTTTCCTGCCTCAGTCTGGCTTTGAACCATAACTCTCAGATCTCAGCCTTGTGAGTAGCTACTGGCATGAGCCACTGGCACCCAGCTGAGCCAACTTCTCTCTCTCTGTCTCTCTCTCTGTCTCTCTCCTTCCTTCCTTCCTTCCTTCCTTCCTTCCTTCCTTCCTTCCTTCCTTCCTTCCTTCCTTCCTTCCTTTTCTTCCTTTTGTGCTGGTACTGGGATTTGAATTCAGTCCTGGGTATTGTCCCTTATTTTTTTCACTCAAGGCTAGCACTCTACAACTTGAGCCATTGCTCCATTTTCAGTTTTGTGTGTGTGTGTGTGTGTGTGTGAGAGAGAGAGAGAGAGAGAGAAATGGAGGGAGAGAGATTAATTAGAAATAAGTCTCACAGACTCCTGCCTACACTGGCTTCAAACCACAGTTCTCCAATCCCAGCATCTTGAGTAGCGAGGATTCCAGGTGTGAGCCACAGGAACCCAGATTGAACCCATTTTTCATACCTTTCCCGTTTTACAGGTGAAGAATTGAGGCCAGTCTGTAGGAGAGCTGGAAGTCAAGCCCGGGAGTTCTGAGTGCAGACGAGTGTCCGGTTTAGTGTGCCATGTATTTCCTAATATGAGAGTGCTGTCTCACAAGGAGTGTCACTGTCATGTATCATTCATGCACAAAAACACACCAAAAGCTTTTCTGTATGCATGGAATGCTATTAAGAAAGTTCAGTTTGTCTTGCTGCAGATGGCTGTAGCTGAAGTTTTATTAAATGCTGGTGCTGATTCTGTTTCTTCTGTTCCACAGCCCCTTGCTTAGTAATCTGTGCTGTGTCCTCATATCACTCTGACCTGAGCAGGCAGAACAGCCCCTGTTTCTCAGGCTGTGGGTTTTATTGCTAGGATACCAGGCTGCAATAATGAGATGGTGTTATATCAAATAGCCTGAGGCACACAGAGTATGAGGGAGCAAATTCTCCCTCAAATTTGGGCCTTCTGAAAGACTTCCAGGTGCCAGGCTTGCCAGGCCCCCTTTGTTATTGAGATGGATCTTTTGGCCTAAAAAAAAAAAAAAAAAAGAGACTAAAACCCCCACCATCCTCAAAGAACTAGATCTCTGACTGCTTTCTTTCACAGCATCTGGACACCCACACTGCTTCTTTTGCCACCTGGAACTTGGCTCTGACCGGGAAGTGCCTTCCAAGTTTGCCAGTCATGTGAATGTGGAATTCAGCATGCCCACAACTTCTGCCTCCAAAGCTGCTGTTCGATCCGTCTCCGTGGAAGACAAGACTGATGTCCGGAAGTGGGTCAATTATTCTGCACACTACAGCTACAAGGTAGCCTTGAGGGCTCTCTCTGGTTTCCAAGTGCATTTGTTGACCCATCCCCCTCTCCACCCTTATTCCTTTTAAGCGGTGCTTACCCAGGGTAAAAAACATTCATTGACCAGACCACCCTAGAGGAAGTTCACGTGCATAGCTGTGGATATATCTGATTTTAATGTATAATCTGTATTGTGAGAAAGGTTGATACAAAAAAAAAGGAGAGATAATATGTCTGTCAATGTGAATAACAACAAAAAGAACTGTGGGTGAAGCAATTGTTATTACTCATTTGTAATACAATTTATGTTGCAAAATGAAGGGAGAATATCTTTGTAATACCATTTATGTTGCAAAATGAAGGGGGAGTATCAGGAAAGTACTGACTTTTGAGTCACATATTTCATTCACAGGAGGTGATAATAATAGATCTGAATATAGTTAGGACACACATAACCTCTGTCCTGGGCCATAGCAATACAAAAACTCAAAAGTTGGGGCTGGGAATATGACTTAGTGGTAGAGTGCTTGTCTAGCATGAATGAAGCCCTGGATTTGTTCCTCAGTACCACATATCCAGAAAAAGCCAGAAGTGGTACTGTGGCTAAAGTGGTAGAGTTCTAGCCTTGAGCAAAAGAAGCTCAAGGACAGTGTTAGGCCCTGAGTTCAAGCTCCAGGACTTGAACAAAAGCAAAACTCAAAAGCCAAGCAAACTTCTGCAATAATAATAATAATAGGATCAGAAGTGTATGAGAAGTAGTCAAAGCTGGAGCTCAAGGGAGTTGGGGGAGGGCATTTATTTTATTTTGTTTTGTTTTGGTCTGAGACAGGGTCTATGTAGTTGGTCTATGTAGAATTAGAGATTTGATAGCTTAAATGTCAGATCTTAAGAAGTATTTTGCAAGGTGATTCAATAATTTCCTATTCAAAATAATACCTTTAGCTTTATACAACAGTTTATTGTTCCTCTAAATGTTTTCTTAGTTGTGTGGCCTGAAACATTTAATGACCAGAAAAGAACAAATTCTCCACCTTGTGGCCAGAAAAAAATATAGCACTTCCCCTCAAACATGACCCTGTTCAGTCAGCACAAACAGCCAAGCAAGTGCTGAAGAACAACCTTAATTATGAGATTCCTGAGCTCAAAGAATTCCCTTATCAATTCCCTTATCAAGCAAACAATTGCTTGAATTTGAAGTGTGGTACTTTCAAGGTGAGATTGGTTTGTCTTTTTGTAATAACAGCAAAAATATTGGCATTTACTCCACTATTGGTCAATTTGGAGGCTGTTAAAGGAGGAAGTATTGGGAGGGGTTTAAATCAGATACATGGGAGTTTTTTCATTGGGTAACATTTTTTCAAATGCTTACTCCATTCTACACTGTTGGATAGTGTAGCCAATGAGGTCTCCCTGTCTTATGGAGCCAGTGGAATAGTGGAGCCAGGTACATTTCCAAATGTTCTAGATACAGTTCACTGGGAGGCACTTGGTCTACTTAATGAATCGAGAACAAAGGTGACCTTTGAGCAACTGTACAAGACAGAGAATAAGAATCTTCCAGATACAATATTGGAAAGAGGTCATTCCAGACCATGCAAAGAACGTGTGCAAAGAAAGTTATAACTGCCGGTGTTGGTGGCTTACACCTGTAATCCTACCTACTGAAGAGGCTGCAGCCTGAGGACTGAAGTTCTAAGCCAACCGAGGCAGGAGAGTCTGTGAGATGTTATTTCCACTTAAGCACCATAAATCCAAAGGAAGAGCTGTACCTCAAGTGGTAGAGAGCCATCCTTGACAAAAGCTAAGGGGCAGTGCCCAGGCCCTGAGTTCTAGTATGGCAGATAGAGTGGGGGAAAGAGGGGAAAAGAGAGTGGGGAAAAGGGGAAAAGGAGAGAGGAAAGATGAAGAACTCAAGGCCAGTAATTCCAGTGTGTTAAAGCCCAAAACCTTAGCAAAAGCACAAGGAATCTCAAAGAACCTTCTGAGGTTCTTTTGGCTCGTTTGAATGTCTTTTTCTTCCATTTGTTTGCATGACATTTTCTGCAACTTTTCTTTGGGCAGGTGGAAATTGAACAAAAAAAGAGTTTGAAGCCAGACTGTGATGAAGATGAAATGGCTAATCCCAAGGAGTGTGGGGTACAGTGATAAAGACTTACATCAAGTAATCCTAACCCAAGAGTCACGACAGGATGCCTTCCTGAATAGCTGAAGTTGAAGTCAACACGTGCTGTGGCGACTCCATGTGGGAACAGTCTATGAGAGCTTCCTGTTCACGGTTACCTGTATTTCAACAGGAGAACCCCTGAGGTGGTTGCTTGCTGGAAGCTAGTTGACCCTGATCATGCCTGAAGCACGTGGTGCACCTGACTTTTGAAGCTTATTATGTAATTAAGCTTCTTTGTCTGTTTCTGCTTGTATTGCAGCACTGGTATGTGGTTTGTGAAGACAGAGTTTGGAAAGGAACCTCCAACGTCAGTGTTGGTACTGGTTCTGAAAATCATTTATCCCTCAAGAGTGTCTGGAGAAAAGTAGTCCTGAGAAATCAATCCCAAAACCATCTCTGTCACTCTTTATATAAAAGGCTCTGAAAAGGTTCAAAGTAAATTTCCTCTTTGGGTCTAGTAGACCTTGTGTAGAGTCTTTGAACGTTAAATGTTAACACTATGCAAGAGGAGTTTTTCAGGTGTTCTCTCCTTGTTCTAGATTGCTTTGAACTCAAGGGTTTTTGTTGTTGTTGTTGTTGTTATGTTTTGTTTTGTTGTTTATTATTTTCCTATTTCTCAAGGGTTTCAGTCACAGGATTTGTTATCCTACGTCACAATAGACAATGGGAAAAACTAGGATTTTTTTAAAAATTCAGTGACTGGGCCTACATTCTACAAATAGATTGGATTGGATTTATATTTCTTTTGAGTGGAAAACAAAATTGAATTTGCCTTTCCTCTGTGGAAAAGGGTCATTAAATGTAAGATTATATTCAGTTCAGTAAACAGCCTCAGTGTCAGTGAATTTTCAAATTCACACTGAAAAATACATACCCCTTCTGCTTCCTGAGACATATGAGGACTCATTTATATGGATTCATGTCCTCTGGCATTTATCAGGGGCATTTGGGAGTCCTTTTTATACCTCATAGCCACTAAACGGTTGCATGTCTCTTTAACTCAAACGTTACAAGAATTTCAAGGTGAAAGGATTTTTTTTAACTAACTTTGAATGAACTTTCCCCCCAGTGTCAGAGTTTGATCATCACAGTATTGTAATAGATCCAAAACAGTAGAGTCGGTATGGAGGAAAGCCATTATTTCCCAATCCTGGTTCTAAGAGTTGAGACACTCAATCTTCTTTCCCTTCATCTATACCTGCCCACATCTGCATCACATTTGTATCTTGGTGTTTTCTCTTGTGAAGAAAGGACACTTAATCAGCTTTGTAGCTAATACAGGAATTGGCAATATTTCCAGTTTTGGCTGACCAATTGAAGATTTACTCAGTGAATGGTCATTGAATTTTAACTGTTTTGACAATGGATTACAGAAATCGTAATGTTTTAAATTTTCTAAGGATAATACTGAACCTACAGGGATGTGGCTGAACAGATGTTAGCGAGAAATCTTACATTCTGTGTTTTTATACTTAAAATGCCATCCTCAAAGTACAATGTTGAGTATATGAGTGGGCTTGTGTGTGTGTGTGTGTGTGTGTGTGTGTGAGAGAGAGAGAGAGAGAGAGAGAGAGAGGGAGAGGGAGAGGGAGAGGGAGGGAGAGGGAGGGTACTGGGGAGACCTGGTTTTCCAGCCATTCTTGTAGAAATGTTTTCCTGGAGAAGTGGAGTTTGAATTGTGAGTTCATTGTTGCACAAAGCTAGTGCATTCTATCTTAATCTGTGTTACTAGATGTTTAAAGGATTCTGCATGATGCATTGGCCAGTAAATATCTAAATAGAGGGTTTCAACTATAGATGCTTTATTGTAAAAGAGGTATTAATAAGTTGTTTGTGTCCACAGGTAGATGAGGATTATCAAGAGTCTGATTATATAAAGAACTGGGAAACAGCTCTTATAAATAAAAAGAAAGTATAGCTGGGAGTTACTGTTGAACTATAAAAAAGAGAAGAAATTAGATTTTATATAGCTTCCAAGAGCAAAACTAGAAACAAAGCATAACTTTATAGATAACAAATGTACACTCTAATATAAGAATTTTCTAGTAAATATTGTCTTAGAAGAAGTAAAATCTCTTGTTGCTGGTAATGCCCAAGGGTTAAAATAATCACCTATAAAAGGGATTTTCACACTGGATTTTGGCTGCATGATGACTTAAATTTCCTTTTAAACGGTCTCAGTAGAAATGAGGCTAATTCCAGTTGTCTTTTCCTTCCTAAATATTTTCATGCTGAAATACAGTGGAGTCCACAGAAGCTCTCTGTCAGGCGATCCCAGAGCATGCTTGGTGAATTCAAGGCACAGAATGTCCAGTGGACCAGAGAGTTGTCAATATGAATGAAGGTCATCCCAGCCCCTTCCCCAAGCCCAGCACTGTGTCAACATCTGTACCAACCTGCAAAGCACCATGTGCATATTGTTTTCCATCCTATTCCTGCTCCTTCTCGTTGCCTCTATGCTTTCATCTGAACTGTTTTGTTTTTTTTTTAACCAAGGTGGGGAAATCCCTTTACGTGATCTTTATTCCTCAAGTAAATTATTGTTAACTTTTCAAAACCCTACTACCTTGATTCCAGCTAGTTCATTTTGGGCCTACTTTGTGTGTGTGTGTGTGTTTTTGTTTTTGTTTTTGTTTTTGAGTCCGGTCGTGGGGCCTGAACTCTGGGCCTGGCGCTGTCCCTCAGCTCTTCAGCTCAAGGCTAGCACTCTACCACTTGAGCCACAGCACCACTTCCGGCTTTTTTCTTTCTGCTTATGTGGTGCTGAGGAATCGAACCCAGGGCTTCATGCATGCAAGGCAAGCGCTCTACCACTGAGCCACCTTCCCAGCCGGGTCTACTGTTTTTTTTAGGCAAAATATTATAGGTAACATTGAGGAGACTATAATGTAATATATCTTTAGTGTTTTACTAATAACCTAATTTTTTAAAAACCTAAAAAAAAACCCACAGTTGGGCAAATTTCCTTTTTGGTATACAGATCCTACATTTGAGACTCTGGGGTTTTTTGGGGGCTGGGGGAGAATTTGTTCTTTGTTATCAATAACATGAAAATCTTAAAAGCAAATTCATTTTATCATTACATAGTATTGCTATTAAAGCATAAAGTAGATGTCACCTGATGTCAAGAGCTCTGCTTTCTCTTAAGTCCAGGAATTGCTTTTCAACCTTACAAAGAAAAACTGGGAGAAATGTACTCATTTTGATATGCAAAACTAGAAAATGTGAGGTATTTGGGACAGGAGTATTATTCCCCTCTGACCTTCTTTTGTAGACATAATACTGGTTGTTCCTTATCAAAAGTTTGCACTTTGTTCATATTAAATATTGTCTAGACAGTTTTATTGTGCGGTTTTCCCCCTGTTTAGTTCTTCTCTACCCTCTACCTTCCTATGCTATTATCAGGGCTCATGATCTTTGAGACCCAGTTTTAAAGTTTAAAATATTATTTGAAATGAGTCTAATTTCTATTCTAATCCAGTAGTCGAAAGCAGGAATTTATTTCCCTAGAAACTCATGTTCCTGAGAAGTACAATGCATAAAGACAAGGAACATATTTTACTCTGTGTGTTTTCAGTACCTCTAACAAAGCCTGGAGTATAATAAGGTTCAGCCACCTTAAACTCTTACTGTAGAGTAAGCATACTTATGAAATAAAGGGACATTATTAGGTATTTCATAATTGTTTGTTAAATGAACACTGACCTGAGACTCTGAAACTACTTAACCTCTGTTTTCCACCAAATACTCATTTTTAAGCAAGCAAGCTGCTTTCATTTTCTGGAGAACTTAAATAATTTTTCTTCCCTTTTTTTCTGGCTTCCAGAATCAACTAATAGTAACTATCAGCACTTAAGCATTTAATGTGCTGCTGAATTTGAACTACAGTGTACCTTCCTCATATTGAAAAACATTTCTGCACAAAGCTACAGTAGCAAAGATGCTTTCCATAGGCAAATTACAGATTCCCTTTTATTGCTTCCAGTCCAACAGACATATGAGCCTGGGCCTTGCCCATTAGAAAGGCTAGTGGGAAGATCACCACTCTGGAGGGGGAAGCAGAGGTTCTAAAGTTGGAAGCCAGTGTGGCTACATAATGAGTTCAAGACCAGCTTGGTCTACATAAAACGATTGTCTCAAAAAACAACAACAATCTGGGCATCAGTGGCTCATACCTGTCATCATAGTTGAGGATCCCAGTTTAAAGCCATCTTAGGAAAACAAATCTTCAGAGACTCCTACCTTTGGAGGTAACCAGCAAAAAGCCAGAAGTGGAGATGTGGCTTAAGTGGTAGAACACCAGCTTGCATGAAAATGCTATGTGAGATTGGCCCAATATCAGCACAAAAGAAAATGAAGAAAAAATGAGAATGGCCAGTGAGAGAATCTCCTGTATACAGTGCATAGTCAGTTTTAGTCCTCCCCAATACTGAACACGACCAGTTTCACATGGCATTTATTATGTCATCATAGTAAAAGATCTGAAATAGGAAGGCTGAGGCTTGCCAGATGTAATTAAGATAATTTCAATGATGACTTACTATTTTATGATACGTGTAGAAGTGGAAATGTAGAAAATAAGCTGGATTTTTTCTTAAAACTTCAGAATTGTTGAATTTGTGTATGAGTACTGTCATCCAGCTTACTTTTACAAATTCTCCCATTTGGACATATCAGTTTTATCTCTTCTAAGGATTTTTATATGTTAATGCCAGAGATGATGATAAGAATGGAATTTGATAGGAAATTCAAACAAAACGAAAAAAGGAAATTGAAAAAAAATATTGAAAAAATGTGCCATGTAGTAAATAAATCATCTCTAATACTTCACTACCAAGTCCTATCCAGACCATGGCAATTTTATAATTTATATAAAATTAGTCAAGTTATTCTCATCAAGTTTCTAAAGATGATTTCTAAACATTATGAATATCTTAAGTGCCAATTTCCATTTTAAAATTATGTCCATTGTAAATGAGACTAGCTAACTTTGGATATTGTGACTCATAATTTTGTATTTAAGGAATTAAAAGTGAAGATCTGCAAGGCAAATAAATGTAGAAAACAATGTGTGTCTTACTAATATTTTTCCATGTATTAACTAAAGCCAGAAAGTAGAGATTGTACATTTCTTCTAGTGTGCCTTAGTAAATCTGCTTAAGAAAGTCTAGTTCTTTGTTTTTAAAGCTAAACAAGAAAAATTATATTTCTCAAGTTTCAATTCCAAGCCAACATAAAGGAAAAAAGTTTCCAAAGTAATGTGCTTGGTAGTGCCTGGAAAGAGGCAAACAGGTCAACAATAACTGTTTTTTTTTTGTTTGTTTTGTTGGTTGTGGGGCTTGAAGTCTGGGCCTGGGTGCTGTCCCTCAGCTCTTCAGCGCAAGGTGAGCACTCTACCACTTGAGCCACAGCACCAATTCTGGTTTTCTGGTGGTTTAGGAGGTAAGAATTTCATAGACTTTCCTGCCTGGGCTGGCTTTGAACTGCGATCCTCAGATCTCAGCCTCCTGAGTAGCTAGGATTACAGACGTGAGCCACCAGCTCCTGGCCCTGTGTTTGTTGTTGTTGTTGTTGTTGTTGTTGTTGTTGTTTTAAAAGCTATAGAAGAACAGACTGAGAAAATATAGGCCTTGGAGCTTGTGGCTCATACCTACAATACTAGCTACTTGAAGGTGATTTCTGTGGATCCAAGTTCAAAGCCATCCAGGAAAGACCAATTCTCAAGTCTTCTACCTCCAGCTAACCTGCAAAACACCAGAGCTGGAGGCATGACTCAAGTAGTAGAAGGCTGTGAGTGGAAAAAGTCAAATGAGAACACAAGGGCCTGGATTCAAGCCCCAGTACAGGCCAAAAAAAGGGAAAATTTAGAATTTCAATATGAAAAATTATAAAGAGATGGAAAATACAACATTGGACACTAACCCTCAAAACATTTGAACTTGGTATCATTTCTTAAAGCTGGAAGATTCCAAGGCAAGGATAAAAAAAGAATTATTCAGCATAACAAGTATTGTAGCAAGTGTCTACTTGATGAAGATGCTGAGTTCGCAGCCAGCATCTTGGAAGAGAGTAAAGAGCCCACATGGAACACTGAAGATCATTTATATAAAATCATTGGTAGGTGTGCCGTACTGGTTATTCCAAGGGAAAAGTTGGGGTTTCTGTGGCTTTTTATAGGACATAATTATGAAGACAATCACTGTTAACTGACTTGGTAGGAATTTTCCCTATTGGACTTCATTTTCCACAGATGAGAGTCAGAGAGCTGGACTCATTGTTTCCTTGGGCTCTTTCCAGCTCTAGTTTTATGGGTTATTTTATGAAAATAACCTTTGGTGCCATTTTAGTGATAGTGATTTTCGTGTCAATATGACACTTCATATATTGTAAGAACCAAGAAATTTAAGTTGTTTATATTAAGAAAAGTGGCTTGTTCGTCTATTTTTTTTTCCCTATCTTTCTCCCCTTTAGCATCTGCCCAGATGACAGAAACACAGAAAAGCTTGCTCTCCTCTATTTGCTAGTTCCCTTCAAGATATTGCTTAAATCAGAAACAAAGATAGAGGTAATGATCAAGCTGGCATGCTGCTCGGGAAGTCCCACCAGCATGTAAAGCAGTGGTTTAAGTGTAAAGAAGTATAAAGTCTCCCAGATAGATCTTAGGATTTCAGAACAACTTAACAGCAGATGTAGATCTAGATCTAAGCCTTCAAGCTACAAAGGATGTCTGGTTGTAAAGCTATTAAGATGGTCAATGAGTTATAGATCATGTCCAATTATATAAAAGACTACAAGACTTTCAGAATGGAAAACAGTATCATGTTTTCTGACTAGTTGTAAGTTAGGACAACACTAGATGAAAGAAAGGGATTGTTCCTGCCCTCCATCTCACTATCCCTCAGTGACTTTTGAAAAAAACTTCAAAAGCCACAAATAACTTCTCTTGCATGGTATGTTTGAGGGAGGTTCTAGTTTTTTTTTTTTTTTTTTTTTTGGTTTTACTTCATGTGATGGATCAATTTCAATTGGATAGAACAAGGAATTTCAGCATCTACTTGCAGTTCATACTCAGGTTCTATCCAGAACAAACCTTCACTATCTAGCCACGCTGTTAGTAAAGCCTTAAGCTCAAGTGCTCTCATCTCCTGTGTGTTTTAGAATGGCAGGATCAGTGCTGGGAAAGCAAAGGTGTGGCTAGCTCTCAATAGCAGTCTGTTAGATTTAAAGGTTTAAAAAACAGCAATGAGAGAATGGGATTATATGATCTCTGACTCTCAGCATTCATTTAACTTTGTCTCTACTTGCCAACATAATCTGGAGAAAACATTTGCCATATTCAAGAGATTAATCGGATGGACAAACCCCAAATCCATTGAATGATTTAGCTGATCCAAGGTTTATATTTTCCTTCATTCACCATACATCTTCATTCAGTTAACTTCTTGCAGTATTTTGTTTAACTTGATGTGAAAACCAGTTTACTTTAAAAAAAAAAATGTGCCTATGTAATGAAGTCTATACACTGGCTATCTTTGTAGAGGTGAAGTTTCTGTTGTAGTTGTTCTGCTGATTATTATCTGTAGTATCTTTGAGCTATGAAAAAGAACTATTAATAAAACATTTTAAACAAAGTGTCTCTATGAAAGTTTTTATGAGGACAGGTATAAGGAAGAATAAATATTTACTATTAGTCCACCACTCAATATGGTTAATGACCATAAGCTAAGAGTCTAACAAGTGACCCACTTAACGTAGTCTAGTTAAATTTATCTTACATATGATTTTGTCAAGTCAAGATATATTTATTGCTGGGTGCCAGCGGCTTACACCTGTAATCCTAACTACTCAGGAGGCTGAGATCTTAGAATCAGGGTTGGAAGCTAGCTTGGGCAGGAAAGTCTGTGAAACACTTACTCCAATTAACCACCAGAAAATCACTGTGGCTCAAAGTGGTAAAGTTCTAGCCTTAAGCAAAAAAGCTGAAGGACAGCACCCAGGCTCTGAGTTTGAACCCTATGACTGACCAAAAAAAAAATTATTGCATTTCTGTTTTGTGCCCAATAGCACGAGAAAAAAAATTGATTATGATTAAAACCCTTTAAGGTGTTGTTGAAGCATTCACATACAATAAATGTAATATTAGAACACGTAATTAAATTTGCATTATGATCCTGGTATAGTGTCAATTGTTCAATCAGTTGATGAATCCTAACTACTAATATGAACACACCAAAAAAATGTGGATTAGATTTAGAAAAACTTCTTTGGAAGATTTCAAATGAAAGGTTAGGTAGCTTTTATGTAAGAGCTTGAGATAGGGGTAAAATTTGGATCTATAAAAATAAGACAATTTAGGGTTGGCAAGCAGTAGTAAAAATGGTAAGCTAGCCAGGTGCCAGTGGCTCTCACCTTTAATCTTAGCTACTCAAGAGGCTGAGATCTGAGGATCACAGTTTGAAGCCAACTGGGGCTTTATCTCCAATTAACCCCTCAAAAACCAAGAATGACGCTGTGGCTCAAAGTGGTAGAGTGATAGCCTTGAGCATAAAGAACTCAGGGACAGCACCCAGGACCTGAATTCAGGACCCATGACTGACAAAAAAAAAAGGTAAGCTACTATAGCTGAAGATTAGCCTGACCTGGGTGAAGGCTTCATGCACACCAGGGAGTAAGATTGATGATATAGCTGAGCTGTTGTAAAGCTTGCATCCAGTGTGAGACTGGACTTAATCTAGTAAAAATGCACTGAAGTCATTTGGGAATCCTGCCAATAAAGGAACCTTTCATTCTTGCCAAAGGCTATTTGGATATTCACAACATCATTCACAGACTACACAAAATTCAATTGGGCTACAGGCAGATAATGGGAATCATAGAAGTCATGTACCAAATATTTTGTGAGCCTTATTGGCCTGACTGCCAGGAAACAACTGGAAAAGACTGTCAACAACAGACTAGATTATTTTGGTCTGTGGGAGAGATGAAAGTAAGTGAAGCAAAAAATAAAGCTCATGTTTTGCTTAATTTACATCAACCAGGGATATTTTATTGCAAAATGCAACCTTTTTATAGAGGAGAAACTTGACAAGTGTCTCTCACAGTGTCTTTATTAAGAGATCTTGCCAGGTGCCAGTGGCTCATGCCTATAATCCTAGCTACTCAGGAGCCTGAGATCTGAGGATTGTGGTTCAAAGTCAAACCCAGGCAGGAAAGTCTATGAGACTCGTATCTCCAATTAACCACCAGAAAACTGGAAGTGGTGCTGTGGCTTTAGTCCTCTAGAAGAGGGCTTGCCTTGAGCTGAAGAGCTCTGGGACAGCGTCCAGACCCACAGTTCAAGCCCCATGACCTAAGTAGAACACACAGAATTGCATACCCAAGTCCTTACAAAATTGGGGCTAGCAGATGGTATCAGGTACACAAAAATAAGAGCAAACTATTTTCTTAAGTTGAGGATTCTGGAAAATAAGTCTACTGGTTCCCGCTATTCTTAGACCCCAAGTTTGGAGAGCTCACTGTAGGTTCCACATTGTCACAGGATTTAGCCTTGTAGCCGGTCCCATTTTTCTTTAATACCCCAGTAGTTAAGTGAGGCCAAACATCCACACCAGTGTTCTCAGGATTTAAGAAGAGGATTGAGATAGGAGAAAGTTAAGATGATGTTTAAAGTTAAGATGTCATTTATTCATTCTTTTGTGGTGTTGTTAGTCGTGGGTCTTGAGCTTAAGACTTGGGTGCTGTCCCTCAGCTTTTTCACTCAAGGCTTGTGCTCTATCACTTTGAGCCACACCACTACTTCTGGTTTTCTGGTGGCTAATTGTATATGAGTCTCATAGACTTTCCTTCCCAGGCTGGCTACGAATCATGATCCAGAGATTTTGGCCTCCTGAGGAGCTAGGATAACAGGTTGTAAGTCACACGCACCCAGCAATTTATTCATTCTTGTTCAAAAGTCCAGCTCCTAATTACCTTCCACTACCAACTTTCAATTCCTCCAAGCTAGGACAGCTTTCTCTTTCCAGGGCATAATATTACTTTGTACTTTTGTAGTATTTGTACTCTGATGCAACCACTGGTACAAGAATTTTAGGTGTATTGTCTCATTTAATGAAAGCCTGTGAGGTACTAATAATCCAAGGCTGAAGGTTATGTCATGTTTGCCAAAAGTTAACAAAAAATAGTTACTAGTTATGGCCCAGAAACAGGAAAGAACTTACAAACATCAGACATTCCTACTGTTCATTGACTACACCCCATAGAGATGGAGTCCTTTATTATCTTTCACCCTTTTTGCTCTAATCTGAGCATATGCC